GTGATCATATATTAAAACACATCATTGGAAGTACAAATGCAATTATAACTCGATTCACATTCAAAAACTGCTCTAACATATATAGAAAAACAAGAGCTACATAGAGGTAAAAGATTGGAGTTACAAAGTTTACATTTAATAACAACATTCATACTCTCTGATTCACTCGACTCAAGTGCGAAGCAAGGGCATCCCGCGTCCTCTTCCCACTCTCATCATCCTCTCCATCAAATTCGGGGAGCTCTATATTCCTCCGAAGCTCCACATTTTCATCGGGCATTACTTCACTGCACTTGATAAGAAAATTGTGAAGCAAACAACAAGAAACAATAACAAATGGAAAAGCCTCAACGCATTGCTCCTTCCATTTCTTCCCCAAAACTTTCCACCTTTTCTTCACTTTCGCAAATGCCGTCTCAACCAACTCCATACTTCTACCGTGCACCTTATTAAATGCCAATTCGGTAGAACTCAACTCCCCATTCTTCTCAGTAAAGGGCGTCAAAAGCCAAGGTAAAAGGGGGTAATATGAATTGCCCAAAATATATTGTGGGATTGAATTCCTATTGTTTAGCTCAAATGGCGGTCCATTTAAGTACTCCTTCGAATCCTCAACCCCTGCAAAAAGCTTAGATTTTTTCAATATGTCTTCTGGTTTCTCACCACCAGGCCATCCAGCTGACACATCCAAGAACCTCCCTTCAGAGTCCACTAAAGCCTGAACTAACAAACACCCACTTTCATCCATGGAATGCCCTTCCAATTCGAATTTCTCAATTCCCAAAACTCCACAACAATTAGGCAAGGAAATCCAGCCAAACCCGACTATAATCCTATTGATATCAGAATTGAACTCAAATAAATGGCCAAGATGATCCACAATGGCCTTACAGACAACATAAAAAGCCCGGCAGGCGGTAGGGGAGTCAATAGAGAAGCGGCGTGAGATTGCAGAGAAGGGGGCAGCGTGAGCCAGGCGGAAGAGTGTGGCGGCGACTGCAGCATTGGGTGGCAAATGGTGGAGGGATGTCAAAGAAGGACTAAGAAGCCGAAGAAGGAGAGTAAATGAAGGCTTAGAGAGATTGAAAAATTGAACCCACCTCGGATCATAATCAGGAGAGGACAAAAATCGGTGGAACCAATTTTCTTGCCCCGGTGACGGTGGTAGTGGTGGTGGTGGGGTGGGTGGTAATGGGAAGGAGAGGAGAGAATGGAGGTCAGTAAGCGAAATGGCGGTGGAGGAGAGAAGGGATTCCAAGGTGAGAGATTGGGAAGGGAGGAGGTGTAGGTCATGGCAGAGGAGGAAAGAGTGAGCGGCGGAGGTGGTGGAGATGAGGAGGGGGATCAGCTTTGAAAGGTATTTGTCGCGGTTGCCGGTGGCGGAGTTGGAGGGAAGGAGAGTGGTTTCGGGTTCGATGAGTTTGGATTTGAATCTTCTGGCAGTCTTTCTCCGTTTCTTTGTGGTTTTCTTGGTGGCTCCACCGGCCGTCGCCATTCTAGCGGTGGTGGCGATCAATTGTAGACTGGATCTTGTTGGGTGTTGCTTTAATTTCTAAATTCTGAACTATTGGTAGAACTCTGGTCATGTGAGCCAACTATGTGAACTTTTTGGATAAAAATGGTTAAACAGCCCCATCATTTATCAAAAATAGTGAGCCCCTTCATTTGTGAGGGTGGACTGTCCACCATGTTGACAGCAAGCATCATCTTCTTCTTTTCTTACTACCCACGAACGAAGTACCGAGAGATGAAAATAAAACCAAAAAATTAAAGAAAAGAAAATCTTAAGTTAATTGTCCCAATAATTACTAAACTTATGTTTGTGTCTTGAGTTAAATATTTCATTGGCCATTAAATTTTACACCATGTCACGGCTTACTCATTGAACTTCATCAATTGTCTCATTGACCACTTAACTTTGATCCATTCAATCCCGTCACTCACCTGATTAGAACCGTTAATGGACGAGCCTACATGGATGATGGTAAAATGATCTAACTGGTTAAATTCTTCAAGTGGTATGACAAGTCCCAACTCAGGTTCCACATCAGCAAAATTAAAATTCATTTAACTACACACAATTTCACCATTTCTCCACTCAAGGCTTAACGAAATCAAAACTTAATTTCTCTTTCATTTTCTTGCCCTGATCGCAAAGAGCCCTACCACTGTGAGAATGCATCTTTCCCAACTCGTTTGATCCCTAAATTCAAATCAAGAACCCTAAACCCCGAAATCGAATTAAAAGTATGTGAACAACAATCGGCCATCCTTCTCTTTCACAATCCCAAACTTCACTTACAGAACCATAACCTCCCAAAAATCAAATTGCGAAGTATTTGAACACACAGTCGGCCATTGTTCTACAGTGTTGAAGGCGTGCACATGGAAGATTCAGATGAGGAATATCCCCATATTTGCGGGCCTATAGGACTGATTTCATACCTACCTCCATTTTTGTATTTTAGAGAAATAACGTAATTTTAGGTTTAGTTGTTTTTTGAAACATACTTAAATATTCTCGGTTCAAGTTATTATACATGAGTTAATTGGGATACTTTTTGACTCAGAATAATTCGTACCAATTGGAAAAAATCTGTACTAGTTTGATAAATCTTTGAAAAAAGGAAAAAAAAAAAATTGGAATGCCTGATAACTCTGAAAATTGCGTAATTGTTCGTTGGAATGATGAGAACATTTCACAAATCAGCCAAATCAGATGGTTTGGGAGAGACAAATCTTAGAGATTCTACGTTTCAATTGTGGACAAAATTTACCTTCAATGCATTTCAAATCATAGTCGGTCAACAACAAAGACTTGATTACTATATCCTGTCGGTCGGATTTTGGCTTTTCTTACACTTTTATCACTGATTGAATCGATTTTAGGAGTTAGGGTTCATGAGTTGAATTGGAGCAAATTGGTTTCATGGTTAAGGGTTTTTTATTATTATTATTATTTATTTTTTTATTTTTTCAAGACATGCTTTCCTTCAGTAATTTTTTTAAGGCATGTTGGTGACGTGGAAGCTTATTTGGTGAATGACTTTTTATTTGTAAGAATTTAACCTACCAGATCATCTTACCGTTATCCACATAGGCTCATTTGTTAACGGTTTTAATCGGGTGAGTGATGGGATTGGATGGATCAAAAATAAGTGGCCAATGGGACAATTTATGGAGTTCAGTGAGTAAGTCATGACATGATATAAAGTTCAGTGGCCAACGAAACATTTAACTCTTGTGTCTTCAATTACTCATTGAAATTTAAATTGTCGAGTTTGACTACTAAACTTATCCAAACATTGAATGTTACTCACTAGCATAACATCTATTTCAAACTTTTAACAAAATTCTTGATGTAGCCAACCAAATGCATACGTGGCACCTTTCACGTCGTTACCAAATTGCCACACAAGAAAACATCTTTCATTGCTCACTATACTTTGGAAAATGTCTTCGATTGCTAACTATACTTTGAAAAATGTCTTCAATTACTGACTGAACTTCGAGGTCGTTGAAATTTGGTCATTAAACTTATAAAAATGATGTCGATATATTGTTTGCTGAAAAATGTACTGCAAACGCATGTATCATATACATTTAGTGGATAAGCGAGTTTAGGTAATAATCATTTCTCGTGAGATTGACAAGTAATGTGTTCGTGTGAAACCCACAAGCGTACGGAATCGTTGTACAAATAATAAGATTTGTGAGTTAAGAGTATCATCCCCACGAGGAATAAGGTCTAATATTTAGTTAAGTAGCTTTTACTGAATTTGAAGCAATATAAAATCAAAAAAAATGTGATTTTTATGTTTTCTATGCTAATCTTAAACTAAGAAAGCAAATAAAATATTTATTTAATATGTAAATAATTGTATTGGAATCGTGAATCCCCCTATTGCACTTTTATTCAATATTCTTATCCAAGATATATTAAACTTATGTTTAACACGACCCGATCATATTCCTAGTCCGAATTCATATGAAAAATATGCATTAATTCACATGATTTATCACACATTATTGCACATGCCATAGATATTATTCCTAACACCTATTGTCCATGTGTTGATTTTACCGTGTTCTAGATTTATTGTGAGTATTCCTACACTACAACAAACAACTTACTATCTAATTGGTGATCAAGTAATTAAATAGTTCAATGGGAATGCAAAATCAATCAAGAAAAAATCATGAAATACTAAATTAATTATCTTGAATTAAAATAAACAAACAATAGGGTTTATCATTCATCCAATACAATGAGAAACTAGCCTAGCATATTAATATATAAATTACAAGAAGAATACTAGAAAAATATCACCCAGATCATGAAAGAATACAAAAGACGTTAGTCTTCAAGTCCAAAGTTGAATTCTTCAAAATTTTGATGTAATTGAACTTCAATTCCTTGTTATAACTTGATCTTCTCTCTCAAAATATAGTAATTGGCCACTTGTTCTTGATGAATTTGATGAAACTATTATGTATGAAGAGGCAAGATAGAGAACCTTTCATTGCTGCCCATATCTTGTATATATATGATAAAATTAGGTCAAAATTCGCGTCCAAATTGTCTTCCAAAAGAGTTTGAATCAAATAAGGAAAGTTGCATTCGCGCGCACATAATTTTGTCTCTACACACCCTTCAGTATTTTGGTCATAAATTTCTCTTTCAGTGTCCGATTTAGGTTATTCAAAGTGTATTGGAAAGCTAGTTAAAAGAGCTACAATTCTTCTAGAAATAAAATTTTTCCAATTCAAACGTTCTCCATCCGAAAAATGGGTCTCAAGTTGACCAAAAATCTTGAAGATATCTTATATGATTGGAAGTCGATTTATGGTAATACTCTGATCATATTCCTTTCCTTTTTTACTCCAATTTGCATTCAATTGACTCCTTTCTTCAAAGTATCTTTTGTGGTCCAAATCAACCATTAGATATTTATACTTTGGTCTCCATACTTTGGATTTGCTTCATTTTGGCCATAATCCGTTCTTTTTTTCAATTTTTCTTTGAAACATGAACTTTTCCTGATAAAAGCAATAAATAACAAATTATGAACTAATCCATTCAAAGAATAACAAAATATCATCATTTTAGATCCCAGATAAGTGTAGAAACTACACTTATCATAATGCTTTGAAAAATTTTGATTTACAGGCTCAATGAATTTTTGGGCTTTTGCATTTATAGGTTTCATTTTTATTTTGTGGTCTATTTGCATTTCTTGATTGAATTTAGTGGTTTTATATTTCATTATGAAATTTGATTGTTCTATCAAAAGACACTTCATGAATTTGAACCTTATTTTCATGGTGAAATGTTGTTCCATGGACATTTACTGTCGCTATGTTTTATGGAATAAGCCTGACTTACATACTGAGAGCAATAATGCAGAAACAAAAAAAAAAAAAAATAGAAAATATAGTTGTTTATCGCCGTTCTCATAGAGAATCAAGAATATTAAGTTTACAATGGATCACCAGGCAAAACGACATCTCAGATGCCTTTATATAGCATAGGAATCTATGGGACGCTTAATACAAGTGATGATACCAAAGAAATACCAATATTTTTTTTAATTTAATTTAATTTTTTTTAAATAAATGGTTTGGATAAATGGTTTGGTTCAGGGTAGATGGCATTGGTGAATATGTAATTAGGCTCCACATAGTCAAACACGTTCCTATAGAAAAGGGAAGTCTTGTACAAGCTTGAATTAGGTATTAAATATCAATGAACTTGCAACTTTCCCCAAATTTTAATGTTGATAAAAGGGCTTCTCATGTTTAATTTGAAAGGAAAATACCAGAGAAATGAGCATTCAAGAATCATTGATGGGAATCTATGATTTTTGTCTCACTGTTTTCTCGATAAATTTTCCGAATTGGTTCCTTGTGTTGGTACAAGATAAATCAATGCTTGCCTTCTCCTCTTGTTTTCTTCCATTCCTCAGTTATAATCAGGGTCTGGAACCTTTCTGTTAAACAACTGGATCGTTTTTTCATTGATTTAATATTGTGAAAGACAAAGAACTATTTTTCTAATTGATTAAATTTCGATACTCCTCATGAAATAACTTCGAGATGGACTCTAGTAATGAAGTTCATTCTTCTGCCATGGAAACATGAACTAGTCTTCAAAGGAACTTCTGTTTTGGGCATTAATTCGGAAACTAAGAAATTCTGCAGCCAAGTGGTAAAATATTATCCTTCACTGTACAAGTTAAATATTGTAAATTAGCTGATGAAGAGTTCCCTCAATTTCTTTTCCATTTTATAGGACTCTTGGGATTCTATAGATAACAACAATTTTTCTTTTTTATTATTATTGTTTTTTATTTTTTTACTGGAAGGTTTACTTGATGTGGTCGAGCAGGTATACATGGTATTCTGCTTAACTAAATTTCTGTTATTTCTCTTTATTTTAATTTTTGAACATTTAATTTTGCAGCTACAAATTTACAAGACTCCAAAATTTGAAACGTTGAAATATCAAATAATGAAAAGAATTGGAAAATATGAGGTCTGCTGCCCTTTTTTACCCTCACCTGCTCACTTTCATCCTATGTTTGCCAACTTAGGTCATAAGTGATCTTGTATTATTTTCACTTTGCCATAGAATATAAATGCATTCTAGTAATAACTAGCTTGTGGGCGTTGCTTTATCTGAGGCTTACACCATTAAATGCCACGAAGTTTACGCCTTGAATGCCATTTTCAAGGCATACGTGCATCTCAAAGCTAAGACTCGGGGCAGCTGAGGTGTGAGATTTTTTATGCAGTGATGTTTCGTATGCTTGTTAAGCCCCTCATAGCTAGTGGTAACAACTCTTTCATTGTTGTAGAAGTAGATAACGGCTTCTAGTTCAACTCGTTTCGGTTCAGTTGCTGGGTTAAAGTTTTTAACTACATGCAGTATTTTGCCTCTTTTTACCCAGTTAGATAATCTAATTGAAATACTCCATTTTTAAAGTATATATTTGGGAAAAATTCCACATTGGAGAATATACCAATGACTACTTCTGTGTTCACTCAAGCATTCCGCCATGAATTATCCCAGGTGTCCATTCAGATTGTTCTCCCATCAGGAAAAGATAGTGGGAGGTGAAATTTTTGTCAACTAGATTCATCTTAACTCTTAGTATTGAAAAGTTGAACTTTTTAATGGACTGTTTGGCATGGCTTGTGAAAAATCAAATGCTGCTTCTGGGTCTAAGAAGCTGCATTTGGGAACTGTTTGTACTTTGTCTTATTAGAATAGCTTTTAAAGGAAGGTCACCCAAGGTGACTTCTTCAAGAAGCTCTTCTACAAAATGCAAAAGCGGAAGTTATCGAAAATAGGCCTAGTGTAACATGGAAGTAAAGTAGAAAAATGTGAAATACTGAAGGAAAATATCAATTCCTTTATTTGCATGGCGTGAGAAA